TTTCGGTTTTTATTCGATCAGTTTTTGCGACTTTTAGAATAGGTGAAACCGAGGATCGGACCAAAAAACTTGAGTCATTTTGGACGATTTATACCGGTGTATGTCGATTTTTAGCTTATCTTAGTCGGGTTTTATCAATTGATTTTGGTTTGACCGTTTTTTAACTCAAAGTATAAAGCGTAAACTAAATAACCAATTGATTAGTCTGTTTCAATTCGGTCGATTTCGATTTTAGTCGGTCAGTTTTGATCGGATCAGTTTCGATCGGTTGTGGCTTAGTTCAGTTTTTCGGGTTTTCTTATTCACCACCAGATCATACCATGACGTACTGTGATGTAAACTTTAAACGCAATTATAGTCACTAATAATTACTAAGTCACATTTTTGTCCGAGATCCAGCTTACGGGGTGTTGTTGAGACATCTGTTGATCGGTAGAACTCTACAATACAACAATCTCGAGGAAGCCGAGGGCAACCAAGAAAGATAAAGTTGTGACAAAAGAATGCAGCATCAATCTCCACAAACGCTTGCATGGATGCACCTTCAAGAAAAAGGCACCCAAGACAATAAAGGAGATAGGGAATTGAAGTTTGCTCAAAAAGCAATGGGAACAACAGACATTAGGGTTGATGTGATTGAAACTAAACAAATAGATTTGGAGCAAAGGGATCCGAAGTGTGTCGAGGAGAGTCCCTGTCCGAATTATTGGACGAAAGAGGAACGACGATGAAGATGCTAAGGAAGAATTTTACTCACAGGTTACTATTGCTGAGGCTCCAGAACGACTCAAGGGCTTAGCCACTACTATCATTGAGGATGATGAAGACTAAATTTACCTCTTCAAGAAAAAATTAAAATTATGCTAAGCAATTACAGTGTTGGTTGTTTTCCTTTCTAGAGTAGTTATTCTCAATATTGTATTTTGAATTTTAGACTTGACAAATCTTCGTATGTGTTAAAGACATAATATGGGTTGTTTACAAGTTAGTTCTCATTGCTATGTAAAAAAAAGGTCACATTTTTGTCTATGACTCTTTTATTAGTAATATTTAAGGAAGATTTCTATAATTTTTAACATACTAATGGGAGTTTGAAAGCTAGGAAACACGGAAACTCTCCATGGCTCACGTTTCCACGTTTCGGAAACTCGGAAGCGTTTCAGAAACTCGGAAACTTCAAATTCCCGTTTCGGGGCCGTTTCCGTAATTAAGAAAAATTTGGAAACCCGTTTCACTACGTTTCGGAAACCTCGGATTCCAAATTTTTTTCTTTTTTAAAAGATTCTGTGGTAGAAAATAATTTTTATAGTGAATTTTTGTGATATTTCTCAGCGGCAACACTTGTTACATTTCGTATTACTCCGTACATTTTATGTTTAATTATGTACTAATATGAAATAATATCTAAATTCGAACATGTAGAGTGATTTTATTATTTGGTTACTAAACAAATTATACTAAAAAAACATGTGCATATGAAATTGTTAGACTACAAGATTTTGATGAACAGTTTTTCTTTAATGATGCCAAAACTCCTCAATGATTTCTCCCCTTCATTTGTAGCTTTAGGAAGTCAAAAATGTTGTATTCTGCTTGACTTGTTGTTACTAGTAGAATGTCATCTGAAAATGTTCTGTTGATCAACTAAACAAATAAATATAACTGGAAAAACATAAAATACAATAAGGCAATATTTTATTGCCTTAAAAGGATATCATATAAATCCAACCAGTTAAATCTATTTGTTTAATAAATTAAAAGAAATGTGAACAACTAACTGGAACACAAAATGCAATAAGGTAATAACTTTTACCTTAATAGGATTTGTTATCCTACCAGTTAAGTTGTACACAATACCTGCCAAACTACACAAAACTCTAAAAGTGACAAAAACACCAATGTAAAAACTATGTACCAAATTAAACATACTGGAATTATAAAATGCAATGAGGTAAATTCTTTTTTACCTTACATGGATATTTAAATCCAACCAGTATAGTTTTTATTTGGTACATAAGTTTAATCATGTCACTTAAAGAAAGAAAGTGATTAGTAAAATAAGTGACAAATTTTATTGTAAAATTTGTACCAAATAAATTGTACTGGAAAGAACAAAATGCAATAAGGTAATTTTACCTTAATAGGATATTTAAAAGATCCTACCAGTACAGATTTTATTTGGTACAAAATATTCTAAGTCACACATTTTACTACTTCACTACACAAATTGAGCAGGTTCACGCACTTTACTACACGAGTATAGTTGCAAGACAAGGCCAATACACTCGAATGCAAGAACAGCGAAGACATCAGAATAGGTGAACAGTGAAACCTATCAGAATAGGCGTGCAGCGATAAGAAGGCCTGAGGTATGGGTTTTATCTTCGTACAAAGCAAGTGGCCTTCAAAGACAAATCCTTATCCTGCTCCAACACAAGAAGACGCAAGTACAAAACTTTGGACGTCAAGGATTAAATCCTCTTAACCAACGGAGGAAATTAATCTAATGGAGATGCCTATAAAAATAGGCAGAAGCATGAGTTCAAAGATAAGTCATTGAGTTCAAAGCAAGAGATTCAGTTATTACACTACGAATATCCAGCAAAAGAGAAAGTGCCTGAATACTCTGCTTTGACTCATGCTTCACTAAGCTCTTAGACTAGATCATTCATTGTAATATTCATAGAGCTTAGATTTTAGTCGGCGGTCAGAAACTTCGGGAATCATTTCATGTTGTTGTTAACACTTAGGAGAACAGTTGTTCGGATCCTATAGTGTGGTTAGATAGATAGAGTACCTTTTGATCCCCACTGGATCAATTGAGAAAAGTCTTAAGGTTTGAGTAACTTGGAGTGGTGTTATACTCCTCGTGAAACGCCTTCAATCTAGGCCAGAGTTGTCAAGGCTAGATTGACACTAAATGTATTGGGCTGAATACTTTAGTGGAAATCCATTTGAAATAGAATGAGACTGGATGTAGGAGGATTACACCACCTCTGAACCAGGATACATCGTGTGTTGGTTTACTTTCTTACATACAGAGCACACACCAAACACCTCTCACAAAAGGATTGTAGTTTGCCAGCAGCATCCTAAGCAGTAGTCTTAACTGACCCTACTGCTTATCCTACTGCTTAATTACTCACTCTCCTTGAGACTGTTTTCCACAAGAAGTTATCAAAACTCAGAAGGTGTCTCAGCAGGACCCTGGTCTTCACCCACCTGCTGAGCCCACTGCCCATTCATACGTGTCCTTCCAAACTCCATAACAAGCCGGAACAAAAAGCCCATCCAAGAGTCATCATGTTTCTCAACAGTTGTCTCAGCAGTAACCTGCCTACCAGCCAACTGCCGACTCAGCAGTTGCCTGCCAAACCAGCCAACTGCCTGTGCAGCAGCAGCCTAAGCAGTAACCTGCTCACCAGTCAACTGCCAAGCCTACTTCCAGTCTAAACATCATCTAAACTAGAAAGTTGTCTCACACTAAGTATAAAGAGGTTAAAGACTTCCGCTGTGCATCTATTAATCTCCCAAAAGATTATAGATCAACTCATCTAGAGGGAAAAAGTTTTTAAAGTTTCAAAAAGCTTTAAAAGTCTATTCCCCCCCCCCCCCCCCCCTCTAGACTTTTACCTCTATCCGGGACCATCAGAAAAAACTTGTGTACATATATTTAAAAATATTTATAAATATATCCTTATATTTTATAACATTTACGCGTTTCCCCCACGTTTCGTATCTTATATTTTTTAGAAATTACGTTTCTCGCGTTTCCCGTTTCCCATTTCACGTTTCTCATTTCCCGTTTCCGTGCTACTTAGTTTGAAAGTCATGATTAAGCGGAGTAATAATTAGGAAGCGGATTAATAATTAGGAAAATAGACCTATTTTGTTGGATACTCATACTGGGATTTGACGTGCCACAGCAAAGTAAGGACTTGGAAGATCCAAAAGAGTATAACGTGCCACAGCAAAGTAAGGACTTGGAAGATCCAAAAGAGTATATGCCGTTTGTCTCACCTTTTCATTAAAGTTATGGAATAGTGGAATACTATTCTTTCAACAATAAGAAATGTGTGATTTTTATCATTTCACTTTTTCTACTCAAATCTCAATCATAAATTTTATTTTTTAATCACTTTATTAATAATCGTGCTAAATTAAAAGATGACAACCATTATGGGACGGAGGTAGTATCTTTTAGTTAATTATTTAGACAATAATTAAATCAGATCATTAATGATAACTACTCCCTCCGCCCCTAATAAAACTTCCAAATAGGTTTGGCACACAGTTTATGATAGTGGGTATTGTGTGGTGGAGAGTTGTGCAGAGGAGAGAGAAATGTGTAAGAATTGTTGTGAACCACAAATTCTGGCCAAAAAGGGAAAGTAGAAGTTTTAATTGGGACGGACGAAAAAGGAAAGTTGGAAGTTTATTTAGGGACGGAGGGAGTATTAAAATACATATATTTTTCGTACTATTTTTTATATCAAGTGATTAATGTATCATTTAAGAGTGTTAATTATGTTTTACAATATAAAATAAAAACCTCGGATGTATTTAAAATGTAATTAAGCGAAAACTTACATGTTTAGGAATCATTTTTATTACGTCACAAAAATTTGTTTTATGGGCAACGAAGACTCTTCAAATATGTTGACGGAACGAACTATGCAAAATTGCAATCTATGAGATATTCACATGTGATTAATTGCACCGTACAATCGATTATCGAAGGTGAATAATTGCATATTTATATTTAACACTGTTCCGAACGGTTTTGATTGCAACTAGCTAGCGACGTTTTCTCATGTGAGTAATACAAACTACAGTAATTTGGTCACGTTTGTTGTAAGATTCATTTAGAAAAAAGTTGCCCTAAATGCAGTACTAATTCTTTTCCAAATATGTATAATTATTGTCATTGCCAGTGATATTTTCATATGGTGATCTAGATCCTGTTTGAAGAATGATAATATCGGTATGATTTCAACAGTCGGGATGGCAATAATTTGATTCACGAAATATAGGACCACACATTTTAAATTTCTATAATATGAGTAAGTACTAATTAGTACTTGATGGAGTATATGGCCCAGGAACCCCCGGTCCACAGACTCCTACTACTCTATCACAGGCCTAACAAGCCCAAGAAGCTCAGGAGGCCCAAAACGCAGCGGCACAAGCTCAAGGGAGCCCGAACTGCGCCTAAGGTAGCCTTCGGCAATATGGCCGAAGGATCCAAATTACGCAGGGCAGCCGGATTCGGGGATGCAAAACTACTGGGAGAAAATGGCAGAAAACAGAAGCCTTCGGCACTGTTGAGCCCTCGGCATCAGAGAAGCATTCGGCTGAACAGAGCCTTCGGCCACACGAAGCCCTCGGCTGCATAAAGAGCCTTCGGCTAAACAGACTCAATCGTCGAAGATTCCCTTTGGAGACAGCCAACCACCGCATTTAATGCGACGTCACATCCACCCACCGCATTTAATGCGGTGAACGTGCGATTGCCGGTGCCACCCCGATTGAGGTGACCCCTCGACCGTTAGATTATCGCCACGTGTACTCTCATCGCATTTATTGCTACTATAAATAGCACCCCCTTTCCCCATTGTAAAGCACCAGAACATCTCGAGTTCATAAATATAATCGTCTCTCTCTCCTACTTGTTTGCTCTGATTTCTCTCTAGGTTATTCCCGCAGTAATCCTTCGGATAAGCTACCCCGGGTACACTGTCCATCAGTACCCTGTCAATTCTATCCTTGACATATTTCAATATTAAAAAGATGTTTTTATTAAAAATCATATTGGAAAATGATGGCATCTTTTGCTGTGGCCTCCTTGGGGAAAGATGCTAACATTTTTGTCAGAATGTCAACTTGAAACAATAATATATACTACCTCCGTCTCAAAAAGAGTTGCAAATCTGACTTTTCTTAGTCAAACAGTCTCGCTGTGTTCATTTAATTAGGATGTCATTTTTTAATCATATTCTAATTTGGAGTTTACAACTTTGAAGAGATTTTGATGTAGTTTTTGAATATGTAAATTTAATTATTAAAAATTGAATTAATTATCCATACGGAGGGTTGACTTTTATTATTGGTTGACCAAAAATTGTTGACTTTGCAAAACAAATTGGGACGGAGGAAGTACTAGGTAAGTACGTGTCATCTTAATGACATATTATTCAAAGTAAAATATGACATTTTTGAAGAGTAATAATGCCACTTTGATGGCGTAAAATTTGGCATTTCTTAAACAAACAAAGAAGAAACTAAGCATCTCGAGTTTTTCAATAGGGACCTGCAATGAAACAAAAGAGGGGGGAAGCGAGAGATCGAACCAGAGAGGAGGAGGAGGAGGAGCTACTTTACTCCAACCACCATATCTGATCTAGACTCGCTTCTCGTCGATGCTCCCTCAACGCTCACTGCTTACAGCTCACCGCCATCACGGAAATGATGGGGGAAGAAGAAAGTATTGCCACCATAAGCCACTCGCAACACCTCGTACTCTCGTAAGAGATGATGAGCGCATCAGAAAAGATGATGAGCGGATAAGAATTGAAGGTGGTGAGTGGATCGGAGAAAATCATGAGTGGAGAAGATTATGAGCTAGCCATGCTTGTGACTATACACGATTGGAAAAAAATACGGAGTAGCAGGGTAAATTTGGAACAATAATCCTTTTTTGAAAATAAAAATATAGTTCTGTTTGGGAATGGAAACAACATTTTACTGGTAATTTTCCTAATTTTATTAACAAAATCATACTCCGATCCGTATTATTTTTACTTTAACTTTGGGAATCTAACCATGGGTCTTAGGTAGTTGCACAACAATAATATGTAGTGTAATTAAACCTGTGCTCAAGTTTGAACATTGAACATCATGTCTATAATATACTATCGTATTCATGTTTGCACGTTAAATATAAAATGGGAAAACTGTCAAATAGGTCCTCGAACTTTCATAAAAAAGTCAATTAAGTCCTTCTATAGGAGACTCTGTCCGGTCGTCGCGATTTGGGGCGGTTCTCGGTGGAATTTTTTGATGAATTTTTTTGAGCATCTTATTCATCAAGTCTAGTTCACTCATACCAAATATCAGTTAAAAATTCAATCGGGAACACATTCAAATTAATTCTTGAAGATAACTGCGCATTTTTGCGTTCTCGAATTAATTTGAATGCGCTCCCGATTAAATTTTTAGCTGAAATTTGCTATGAGTAAACTAGACTTGATGAATAAGATGCTCAAAAAAATTCATCAAAAAATTCCACCAGAAACTGCCCCAAATCGCGACGGCCGGACAGAATCTCTTATAGAAGGACTTAATTGACCTTTTTATGAAAGTTCGAGGACCTATTTGACAGTTTTCCCATATAAAATATATACGTAATACTAGAAATCCAATTATTGTTGTACGTGAAGTACGGAGTAAGCATTATAACAGCCGGTTTAGTGGCCTCTTTTTTGAGACGGCTTATCAGCTTAGCTTTTCATCAAACGCGTAAGGTTGAAGTTATTTTTTTAATGGTATTCGCTGAAGTTACTGTAGATGGTCATTTTAGTTATTTTTCATATAATTTTTTATTTTATTTGTTAATAACAAATATTTTAAATATAATTTTTTCATATATCAGCATAATCAGTCAATACAACCACTTCAGCCAGAACTTCATAAATTTCAGCAAAATCAGTCAATTCAGTCAACTCCACTGTTATCAAACGGGCTCTAAATGTAAATAAATATACACATGTATATTTATGTATGTATACATAGAATTAAAGTACAGGCCAACAGAATGACTAGTTTTAAATTATTTTAACCTATAAAGGTTAATCCTATAAACGTTAATCCTATAAAGGTTTTGGTAGCGTTATGCCGTTATGCTACCATTTTTAAGTGGCCAAAGATTGTCTCAGGCTAAGGGAATGACTACAAAGGGAAAAAAAAGATACGGAGTACTACGTATATTACTACGTACGTATATAAGAGGCGGGATTAAAAAAAATACTAGTACATTACAAGGATCCTAAACAAAATATGACATATTTTTGTTGGGACTGCAAACATATCCAAATCTTATAGAAGTATTTAGGGGGTGTTTGGATCTAATTCTTAAAACTGCTTCTACTCCTTCGGAGAGCAGAAGCAGAAGTTGGAGTGTTTTGATGAAAGTGCAGAAGTGATTCTGGTGCTCTAATTACTCCTAGAATCAGTTTTTTTAGAAGCTGGAGGAGACCAGCTACTGAAAACTGATTCCAATTCTGCTTTTACTTTAAAAAAGAAGCAGAATCAGAATCAGTTCCAAACACCCCTATTAATCTATTATGGTTATTACACAACATTATTTCTACAGTATAGTATGGTAATAATAATACTACGTAAGTAATAAGAGTATAAAATATTTTCCATTTTAGCAAAAAGTCCCAAACTTTTGTTCTAAAACAGTCTTTGCTTTAGTAATCCAATGCACATACTTTGTACTAATATCTCAAATTTTCCATTATTGGCATTTCCTATATAATGAGCATTTTTGTTCATTGAGTATAAATGTGATGCATTTAGGGTTAAAGTTATAGAAGGATACCAATGTCTATTAATATTTCCAACTCATTAAAATTGGGGATGACAACGGAGCAGATCGGGGACAGTTTTACATATAATCATACTTGCCTCGTTGGAAATTTCCCCGCCTGTAACCACCCTATTACACAACAGGTAATTTTTACTCTAGCCATAACCGCCACAACGGGTAACGGATATAACCGCGGGTGTCCGCTTTATTACATTAGTCATTGATATATTTTAATATAAAAGTAATATTTTAAAAGGCGAAAAATGGCATCACCTAGACGAGACTCTAGACTTCAGACGCCACTTTAAAGATTCGTATATCTACAAGATAAGAAAGAAGGCAACCTAAGTTAATTTGAACCTAAAAACACTCAATCTGAAAAATAATTAATCACCAAAAATCTGGTATAATAATCAAAAGACTATTAAAATTTATTATAAACTTTCATTCATACACTATATTTAGTACATGTATTATCCATATATACACAATTACAACAGAAAAATCTCATCTTTTAGTAGTTGTGAGACAAATAATAGATAAAAATGTAATAAAAATGTAATAAAAATATAACTAAACATAACGGAATGGGTACCGGGCAGGTAATGGAGCGAGCATGTGTAAAACCATAACCGCATAAAAACAAAACGGGTATTTCCCGCCCCGCTCGTGACCCGGTCAATGCAATTTCGCCATTTTGATTAGGACGGTTTGATATGGATATCCATCGGGTCGATCACAATTGTGATCCCTAATTAAAATTTCAATTTAGAAACAACATGGAACGTGCATTTGGAAACTGATGATGGGCGGCGATTACCTCCGCCGAATTGTAGCTAAACAGAGGCCTGTTCATGAATAAAAAAAAACTTCTTTGAATACATGCTCGTTTCTTATACAAGTATGAGTTTCTCATCACTTTCTTGTACAAACTTTCTACTTTGCTTTTGTATATATACATCAATAAAATTGGTTATGTACGCCAAGTCTGTGTTTCAATACGAATAATATTTTTTCGAGCGGAGCTTCAGTGAGGCACACGATCCACTAGTCTGTGACAGTGTGACTAAAGTCAAAACATCAATAGTGATTGAGGTTTTAGGTAAATGTACTTTTCATACTACTCATATTTATGTTACCCCATTTTTGGGTACCCGTTTTTTTCCTTAATGTGTGGCCACAAATGGGGAACACATTTAAGTGGAACAATACTTTTATGTGTGACCTCATTTGGACCACACAACGTATGGTTTAAGGTTGATTTAATTTAATAATTAAAACATTAAGATGAACGAGTTATATGATTTTAATTAATGAGATAAAAAACTTGATTTTGATACTTTGCACTTGTTAAAATGTTTGTTGATCCCAGTTATATCTGTAAGTTATCATCTCTCGAATACTCAATCGAGGAGTATCTCCAATTTATCGAGGATAATTATTAATAACGACATTTCATTAATAACTCATACTACTAGCTAGGGGTGATATCGGGATGATCCCGATTGCCAAATTCCCGATCCCGTCCTGATCCCGATTCAAACTACAAGAGGATTCCGTATCTCGTTCCGGTTAAGTCGGGATCCCAATATTAAAATCCCGATTAAGTCGGGTTCCCGATCGGAAATTCCGCTTAATCCTGACAATGAAGTATCAAACATAAATTATGTAATTTCTTTAGTTAAACACTAACATTGATATTTAGTGGTTTCAACACTATTCTTTGGTCATTATTATACCATATTTATCATCATCTACTTATAAAATTTATTGTACGTAGTAATAATCATCATCTCAAATTCACACTAATACATGCTTTTAGAATAATTTTTATTTATAACTTCAATTAATTAATAGTATGATTTTTTAATAAGCCATCAAGGCTTAGTGAAACTTCAAAAATTATATAAAAAATGACTAAAAGAAGAATGTGTAACGTATATTATTTAAAATTCAAAACTAAGTAGACTCATTGAGAAACTTTGTGACCAATGAATATAATGTATAAATACATATTATGATTATTTACTAAAGAAAGAAATCTTAGTCTCAATCATATTTTTTTTAAAGAGTTCATCAAAACCGCAAAAATTGTAATATTGTTGTGATTTAGATTGTCGGGATCAAGAATAATCTCTATTTAGTTAGGATCCAGAATATTCAGTTTTGAACAAATGCCGAATAGTTTTTCAAGTTTAATATTGTAAGATACTCGCGGTAAAAGATTAATCAATGTAAGCAATAAGTAATTAAAAAAGATATGCAAATATTTAGATAAATATTCATTTTTTATAAATGTATATTCATTTATATATATATATATATATATATATATTTCTATTTCTATATGTGTATATATATATAGTGTTGGGATTCCGGGATTTTCAAAAAAAAAAAAAAAAAAAACCCGGGATCGGGAATATCGGGATCGGGAGTCGAGATTCAGGAAAAAATTCACAGCCCTACTACTATCCAAGTATAGATCGAACACCATTATATATCGACTACATAATATATAGCATTTGATCTCTTAACTCCTTGATGAAATCAATTGAGATTGATAACCTTAACACAACGGTTTCGGTTTAACCAACACAATTAATCCCTCTTAAGATTATTAACCACGACCATGCATTAATAACCCGAAGTTGCTTCTAAAATCATCAATGATTAACCATCGGTTACGTTCATTGACCGTTTCTAGTAGTAATTAATGTCAATATGTTAACTAATTGTCATTTAGCAACACTCTCTAACATTAATATACAGATAGAATAAGGGAAGAATTAATATTCAAGGGAAGAAGTAAGAAAATAACTCACAACTTTAACATTCAACAAGCATCAAGAGGAAAACCAAGAAATGGGGGTTTAGCTCCTCATTTGGAGACTAAACAATGCTAGAAAAATATAATGAAAATAATATTCTAAGTTGAGTTTAAGTATATGGAAGAAGGGATGAATAATATGAATGAAAAGAATGCTATTTATAGGTGTTTTGAAGGTGTTGTGCCGGATACCCAACCAGGTATTTGAGATACCTGACCTGGTATTTGTCAAATTATATCTTTTTCACATGTCTTTATGCGATTCAGCACGTCTTTTTGCTTGAAGTCACTTCATACCCGACCGGGTATAGGGAATACCCGATCGGGTATCAGTTATATTATCCCAACAGCTTCGTTTTTCACTTCATACCCGACCGGGTAAAGGCCATACCCGGCTGGGTAAGCGACCAAATCACATTTTTTGCATGATTTCTTGCTCCCTTGCACATTCCTTTGATCTTGTAAGATATCTTTCATGCTCCTTTGTTGTAGACTTATTTATTCAAGCTCAAGATATTCTAACTAATAAATTACAATAAACTAGAAAAATAAAAGGTTGTATCGCAAATGTGCAATTAAAAGTAATTAATTATCACATCATAAAAAGTAATTAAAAGTAAAAACTTAAGGACTTCAAAACCACCATTGCAATCATCTAGGTAAGTGATAAATAAAGTAATACTCGGTATCTTATTTATGAAGTAATTGATAAGATAATTGTGGAGCATAACATAAGTTTTTTGACAATATTAGAGTGTTTCAAGATGCTTGTTGAATAACATGTATTTTAGGCAATATTACCTCTAAAATTTTATACATTAGTATTGTGTTTATAAGGTGTCAAAATGGTCAATGGTACGTAAAGATTAACGAATTATTTTGATCATTATATCTTTGGGAAAGTTATACGTAGTAATATTTATAGATTTTTAGATTTTTTTATTAAAAAACAATCCCATGTATATTTCTTATTATATACGCAGTATAATTTTGTATACAAATACTACATCCGTCCCAAAATACTTAATCAACTCCTAAAATTTGGACTTTGATTTTGATTAGTATAATATTATGGAAATTATAAATTTTATACTTCATGCAAATAGTTTTAACAAAGAACATTTTTATGTTATAAATAATTTTCTTTAAAAATATATAGTTGGTCAAATTTTTAAAAAAGACTAAATATTTTGGGACGGAAGTAGTATAAATTGATCAAAGATTAAACATCATTGATCGAGAAATACGATTACGTTTTTAGAAAGGAAGTATATTTTAAAATCATAAAAAATAATTTTTGAATAAGGAACATTTTTGCATGATATAATTTTCATATTCAAAACAATTTCGTTTAAAAGATATCATTAGTCAAAATTGATTGTCATTGATCAAGAATAATCAATTCGGCGAATCATTTTAATTGTGAGGGAAAGCAAGAATATAAAACTTGAGCTAGTCCCTAGCTTCCGGCCATCACATCTTGGCATTGTCTTTGACTGCATGAAAGTCTCACTCGTTATTTGACAACTAGTGATTAATATCTAATTTACATCCTTCGATTTAAATGTCGTTCTCCCTGATGTTAGGTGACTCAGGGGTGTCATTTTTTTTTTGCCCCACTCCTAATGAAGTTAACTATTGCTCCTCATATATGGCCTCTATATAAGGCTACTTCAAGACTGGGAAATTGCATGCCCACTTCTCTAACATTCAGTGTGGCAGCTAGCTATCAATCTATGGCTTCAGCTACGTTTACAATTTCTTGCACCGCCGCCGCCGCCACCCCCACCTCCTCTAATCTTCATAAACCTTCAAAGTTCTTACTTAACCCAAACCTGCCCAAGCATCGCCGCAGCAAACTCTCATGTGCCGCTTCCTCGTCAAAAGGTCAAAATCCGTCCCCGGAAATCATCACTCCGGGGACGACACTTGACCGGAGAAATGTCCTCTTAGGTCTCAGCGGTCTCTACGGCGCCTACAACCTATCCCTTCCCGGTGGCGGCGCCTTGGCGAGTCCGGTCCCGGCCCCAGACATTACCAAGTGTGGCCCGGCAACCATTACCTCGAGCACTGAAAAAGTGCCCTATTCTTGTTGCCCTCCCTTCTCCGGCACCATTGTTGACTACAAGCTCCCGGAGTTCACCAAGCTGAACGTCCGGCCGGCCGCCCACGCCATACACGAGGATCAGTTGGAGAAGTACAAGACAGCCGTCCAGAGAATGAAGGAACTCCCGGAAGATGATCCCCGGAATTTTTACCAGCAAGCCAATGTCCACTGCGCTTATTGTAACGGCGCTTATAAACTTGCCGGCGGTCAGGAATATCAAGTCCACTTCTCGTGGCTATTCTTCCCCTTCCATAGATGGTATGCGTACCGATATCATCATTTAAAGCTTATCGTACCATAAAGGGAGTAATACAAATGTTTTGACAAGTGAACACTACTAAACAGTAGAGTTATTAATGATCAAGTAATGAATTAAGAATAATTATGCCTCATGATCACAGTTTCTAAAAGGTAGAGTTGGGAAAGCACTTTATTTTTTAGGAAAATTGTCATAAGTAGGAGTAAAAGTGTTCTTAAATTTCAAAATAGAACTATTATACGAAGTATTTGCTTCCTGAAATAGGAGTATATCATAATTGAAAAAAGTACTATCATAAATGGTAGTAAATATTGTCATTTTAATACCTTGTACTGCAATTATTATGACAGTAATGTTCCATGATGGTAGTACATACATAGTGAATGTCATTTACTTCTATTTTATGAAAAATATAGGAGTCACATTTTGAAATTTCAAAACCTCTTTGTTTCTATTTCGAGATCTTTCTCTAATTTTTAGGTGAAGGTGCAAGTGGAGATATGCCAAGTTTTGGAAAGGCAAAAATACCTGACCTTCAATCAAGGAGTAAATTAGTTTTTTTTAAAGAAAATGTCAAACCATATTAATAATATAAACAAATGTTTGCAATTACAACGAGCTCAAAGCTTAAAGCTCGTCAACTTTCTTCCAATAGAATTCATCTCGACACAAGAAACGTCCTACGATCAAATCTGAGACGGCCACCTTCAAGGAACCAGCGCGAACCGATGATCATCAAATGGCCAAAATATAATTCTTTTTAGACCCCATCGTACGTACTCTTCCCCACTTAAAAAATTCCACGTATCAAAATATAGCCAAAAAAATCCCCAGTTCCTAGTTACGTGTAGAAATGTTCACCCAAAATAGAGTGAAACTTTTCATTGAACATACGGGAGCTTCAATGCAAATAATGGCCTTAAACAACTCAAGAACCTCGCTAACACAATCGAACCAAAAGCAAGGTAGAAGGTGTAAAATAAGAAAAACAAAGATTGAAATAAAAACAGAATAAGAAACCGCATTTGACCCAATTCAACCTTAAAGTGTCGTCTTCCAAACCCTAGCTCCGTGGCCACTCAAAAGCATGGTGGTTCATGATGGAGAAAGACTATCAAATTTTCATCTTCCTTGCTCGTCTCGTCAGATCATCCAGCCCAAGGATTAATAGCTTTAAATCAGTGGCCCATGAGAGATCATCTACTCTTGCCTTTGCACAGTACGATCATCTGTCATCCTTGTTTAAACCGTACATGTCAAAGTTGAAACCTTGAAACGAACGCCGCCAAGGAGTGCCGCCGTTCAACCATAAAAACTCTAGACTATGCTAAGCCCACCGTTGCACAATTTTAGTTTTTGTCCCGAAATGGTTTGTCATATTGACTTTTCTTAGTCAATGATGACAAACTTTTGACAATGATTTTACTTATTATATTTCTATATAATTTATAAATTTAAAACTTATTAAAATATTTTTGAATAAGGAACATTTTGGTGTAATTTCATATATATTCCAAATAATTTTGTATTAAAAAATATCATTAGTCAAAATTGATTGTCATGTTTTGACCAAGAAAAGTCAATTTGGTGAACCTTTTCGAAACGGAGGGAGTATGATGTATAGCTACGCTCGCAATCCTTGCCGGAGAAGACCAAAAAACTTCTGCACGTCTAGGCGGCGGAACAAGAAACCCTAGAACCAAAAAAAAAAGTCTGTATTGACTTTAAATTAAAAATAATTCTATATATGATAAAAATAAATTAAGTTTGTTTATAAAAATATAACATCTTAATTGTAGTAAGTATAGTAGTAATTCTAGCCAAATAATTTATATTCAAATCTTACACTTAAGTAACTATGAGATCAGACTATACTAAAATACTCCCTCTGTCCCAATAAAAATGGTTTGTCAAATTGATTTTTTTTTTGTGAATGACGACAATAAACTATGACCAATGATATCTCTTAATACAAAATTATTTTGAATATGAAAATTATATCAAAATGTTCTTGAATCAAAATATTCTCATAAAAGTGTAAACTTAATCATTAAAATTATTGTCCAAAGATCATTGACCAAGAAAATTAAAGTCAATGTGGCAAACTTTTTTGGGACGGAGTTAGTGGCTATTTTTTTTTATCTTGGAAATCATACGAAAACGATATGTAAATTTAAAAATGTAAACAATGCAAAAAAATTAATCTGTTTTTATTGCACTACATACTGTAATACTTTGCCGCAGAAACTATAATAATACGTATGGACTATGGAGTATATGTTCACGTTTTAAAATACATACAACGTTATAAAGAAAAACATGACAAGTATATTCTTGAATTTCACTATAGTTTTACTCCTATTTGGAGCCATTTCCCTTAATAATGATAACAAAATGTTATATTTACATTAGAAAGGCAGTAACGACTTGTATTTTGGGGAGAAACAATAGTTATCATATTTTAAAATTCCAGAACGTTTTTATTCCTATTTAATCCAATTATCCTTAATAATCATAATAAAAATATAACATCATTGATAAAAAGTACGTACAATTGCTATTATTATAAGTAAACGTATTTATATAGTTATAACACTACCTCCGTCCCAAAAAGGTACGCCATATTGACTTTTCTTCGTCAATGATGGTGAACTTTGGCCAATGATTTTAATTATTATATTTGTATATAATTTGTCAATTTTATACTTTTATGAAAATATTTTGAATAAGAAATATGTTGATATAATTTTCATTTTCAAATTAATTTTACATTAAAAAATTTCATTAGTCAAAGTTGATTGTCATTTACCAAGAAAAGTGAATTTGACGAAACTTTTTGGGACGGAGGGAATATTATATTTTTAATAAGCATCATATTCATTTTGTTTAAATTGTGTATTTAAGAATAATTATTTTATTGTCTATGTTGATCGGGTTTTCTAGTTGTTGATCAGGTTGACCCGAGTCCGAGCTAAGCCATGACCCCCGGCCGGTTATTCCACATTTTGGGTGGATCGTTCTCGGACCACTTTTACAACATAGCATTAAAATTCTATTGAATTACAAAACAAATATCATTATGACAAAAATTACTACATAGCTTTACAAATTGGAAAGGAATTGAATGGGATTGAATACAAAATATTAAGCGAGACAAATAAACTAGAAGGAAACGAATAGGAGTCTATTTGATGATCCTTTTTTGAGTTTATCATTCTTATTAGTCAGTTTTTTCATCAAACATATAACTTTGATTTCGTGCGTTAAATTGTGTAATAATCAATAAGACTCGAGTTAATTTCTATTTAAATTGGCTGAACTTACTTTAGTGGACCATTTTAGCTCATTTTCATATAATTTTTTTATTATACTAATAAAATTTATTTTAAATATAATTTTTTTTAAAATTTAGAATATTTAGGCAATCCAGCTGCTTCAGTCGGAATTTCATCAGTTATTTCATCAAAATTGACCTATCAGCCAATTTTAGTGGGGCCAAAATTGGCCATAGGGTCAGGCACCCAGGCAATAGCCTAGGGGACCAATATAAATATAAATATAAATATATATATATATATATATATATATATATATATAATATATACGGAAAAGATCCTGTCCAGCCGGAGGGATAGCATCCTCCATCCTAGGGGACCAATATAAATATATATATATATATATATATATATATGTATATATATATATATACATATATATATATATATATAATATATATTGGCCATAGGGGTCAGGCACCCAGGCAATAGAATCTACCTGCCCAAGTATGTAGCTAATTAGAACTTCTTGACCATCATATTTTGAAATATAAAAAATACGGAGTAAACGGATTGCGGAGGCAAAAGCCAAAAGGAACCGAGAGTCTATAAAATTGACTGGAATTTGTAAAAAATTATAAACTTTGAAACTTCGATTTCTTCAATTCTTAGGGCATCACCAATGGGGAACTTTCTAGTCTAAATAAAACATGCCAAATGTCAAATAATCAATAGACTTTCTAATAGGCTTTCTAAAAACTGGGATGATCGGACGTTGGACTATGGAAGAGGCCTCCAATGCAAGATCAATTGAATCTCTCTTTTAATTTATACGGAGTACATCAAAGCACTCAAAATGATATTCTATTAATCAAAAGCAGTCATATTGTATTAACAAAAGTTTATACTTCGATTCGTATATCAAATGAACCACCATCATTCGCCTTATTTTCCGGACAAAACCGCGAACGGGATGGGCAATATATGCGTAATAGCTACAATTTTCGCCGGAAATATATCTCACTGCAATGGCAAAGCGGCATAAAATACTCAAAAATAGTTTTCAGTTATCATTATATTTTTATTTTATCCAGTCAGCAAGTTTACACTACTTTCTACAACCAGACATTCCCCCCTCACAGTGTTCACACGTTTTTGTGCCAACTCATAAAAAACAATTAGAAGACTACATGCATTGGAGGAAGAAATAAATCTTGGATGTCTATTTTAGTGAGGTGGCATGTATTTCCTAGACTAGACTATGCTGCAATGCGGATGCTCTTAGCAATCCGTAATTCCACATAAAAATTAAAAACTGATTAACTAAAATTTCTAAATGAGTTATTTTACATGCAATTTATTTATTATTACTCCCTCTGTCCCGTTAAATTGTCCTATTTAACCATTTTGATTCGTTCCACTAAGTGTTCCATACCAAATTTGATATGATTTTCAATCATTCTTATTTGATTCTTACTTTATCAATTCAATATCAATCACATAAACCACTTTTTATCGGTTTACTTATCACTCTCTCTTTTGTGTCATTGTTAGTGGGAGGGAGTATTTATTAATTGTATGAAACTTGAAACTTTTTGTTATACAGAGTTTATTTTTTCTACTTTTCTTTAAGTTATTCGCTAATCTACTCTTGATTGAATTGTAGTGATGTACTCACAAATTTTGCACATCAAAAGGCAAGAAAGAATACATTATTAGGTAGTACTTTTATAGTTTTGTTTATTTCTTAGAAGAATTTACATCTTCACACACTTTATATCAATTTTAATTACATTATTATCTTTTACATTTAGTAAAAGATGATGTTATAATTTTCTAATTACATTATATTTAATTTCGTTATTAATTTTAAGTATCATTTGATCTCATTGGTCATTTTTTGTCTAGGGCATCAAAACTCCCAGAGACGGCCCTGTTTTAGTGTTATTAAAGAGGCTATAACTATATATAAATTCACACCACAATATCTGAAATTAAAAACTATATTAGGACATGAATTAATAAAACTCGTTTTCCAAATATAAATAGTGATTCTACTCAAAAAATCAATTTGGAGGGAGCTCAAAAACCTCAAATGACGTTTGTATAAAGTTTCAATAACAATAATAATAGTAATAATCTGAATCCGATGAATTGAAGTCATTTCTAACTTATTCGACTTGATATTTACAGGTACCTATACTTCCATGAGAGGATTTTACAATCCTTGATCGGAGATCCTACATTCACCTTGCCGTACTGGAACTGGGACAACCCACAAGGCATGTTCCTCCCAGAAATCTTCGACGACAAGGCCTCGCCATTGTACAACGAGGTTCGTGACCAAAGGCACCACAAGGATCTCATCGTTGACCTAGCTTACTCCGCCGGAGAAGCACTTAACACCACTGAACTCCAAATCCTCCGGAACAACCTCGCGATCATGTACCGGCAAATGGTGACCAACGCGCCGTGCCCGGCGCTCTTCTTCGGAAATACTCTCCGAGGGGAGGGCTACGACACCAAGTCCGGCGGCGGGACCATCGAGAACGTTCCCCACAACACTTTGCACCGGTGGGTCGGTGACCCCACAATGACTAACAACGAGGATATGGGTAACTTCTATTCCGCAGCCAAAGACCCGGTTTTCTATTGTCATCATGGGAATGTGGACCGGATGTGGTCAGTTTGGAAGGGTTTGGGTGGCAAGCGTCGTGATATAGCTGACCCGGATTGGTTACAGTCCGAATTCCTGTTCTATGATGAAAATAAAAATCTTGTCAAGGTCAATGTTCAGGATTGCCTCGATCACAAGAAACTTGGCTACACTTTCCAGGTGCATAACATAATCCATCTTTTTTTTGTTTTCATTTTTTAATTTACAATGTTCAATGCATGCCACCAGTTTCTTAGCTATGGGAGGGGTATGAATAACCCAGCCGCCTATTGTGGGACAGTGGCGTCTTTGGGGCAGTTGGGCCAGGCAGATGCCTTTGACCTCACATGCCAATGGGGCCTCCAAAAAAAATAAAAAACCTATTAGTATTACTGTATTATAAGCCCAACGCGGACACCAAACGCCTCGCATAACCCAAAAGCGCGATGAAGGCGGCTAGACCCAAATGTTAATAAAAGGCTCCTAACCATGATATTTTCTAATATTAAATGTTTACATGATATTTTCTAATATTAAATGTTTACATTTTCTTGTAGTTCTATAAAAATTCAAAGCAATTATTAAAAAAAACAAAAACGCATTTTCACGCCAAAGCCTCGCCTAAACTCGCCTAGGCTTTACAGGCTTGAGGCTTGGTCGTGCCACCTCCTCACGCCTTACGCCTTTAGAACATTGCTATTAATCTATTACGAAGTATCTGATTTACGAAATTAAGGGCATATTGCTCCAACTGAACTCTCCAAGCGACCAAGCATCTGCTGTCCACCGAAGTGCCAAAGAATTGAAGAAATCAGAATGACTGAACTCGGTTACCTTAGTTGTTCTCACTACTGCGTGTCTGCCGCAGTGCCGCTTGCATTTATAGAAATCCGCGTTTTTGTATGATGTTTTTTACTCAACTTATCTCTTTTCAAAATGATTTTTGTGGCGTGAGTTTTTTCCGACTATCTAGGGCCTCCAAAATGCTAAAGACATCCCTTTTCGGGATGGGGCCTGGCTTGTGTTAGGAAGTTAGCTCTGTTTTGGTCGGGCCTCTTTAGTAAATAACTTAGTCCATATATATTTGAAGCTAGCTTGTTCAATTCGTTTAGCTCGTTCAATTTAATAGGTGGACATATTTGCATGTCTTTGTATATATTATTTGTTTATTGATAAGAATATGTGTATTTTAAATATATATGATGCGTTATACATAATTAAGGCTATTAAGATTTAAAGTGTACAAGAATTCATAAGGTATAAAACTCATCGTGTGTTATCATGTTGTTTAATCAAATGATTTTTGTGTAAAACTTTATAGTTTGTTGAAAGGATTTAATTTGTGAACTTTTTAAGTGACTTTTATGGAGTGAGTAGATTATACAGTATTATTTTATCATGCCAGATCACCCCGAACGTGCTATGTTCAGGCGAAATTAAATTAAGATTGGGAAAATTCCCAAAATATAAGAAAAAACATTTGAAAATTTCAAAATAGGATTGTCATGTTTTTATTCTTTAAAGAGTAATTATTGTCATGTTTGGAAAATATTGTCATATTTAAAGTCTATTAATTAATCTTATTTTGGGAATAACAATTTGAAGTGCTATTTTGAAATACACAAACATTTTTAGTCTTATTTAGGACAATTTCCCGTTATGGTTTTAAGTTTAAAAAGCGAGACTCAACTCAAAGATAATAATAATAATAATATAAGCCTTATTATTTAGACAAAATCTGATTTGAGTCATTTTCCCTGCCTGCTCCCAACATTATGATATCAATTGTATATATTCAGGAATTGAAAACTTCGGAATACACAAAGAAACATACACTTCGAATATATTATCACAAGCACGTCCAGCTTTTTGTCATTCATTTAATTTGTAGGTTAATTAGTTTTTTACTTTTGTTATTCATGGTCAGTTTTCTTGACACTTTACATTATACACGTATTAATTGTTTAAATGGCTCGCAGTCGCATTACAATATATTATGATTATGATGAACTCAAATTTTTAACTTCTACAAGGATATGCCCACCCAATGGATGAGATCAAGGCCAACATCAAAAAAGAAGACACAGTCCGCGAGAAGCACCAAAATATCTATTCCCTTGGCCATCAATATCTTACCAACAACGTTACAACAAACTGTAACGTTTTATGTGATGAGGCCGAAGACATCGAGATCAAAGCAAGAGAAAGCAGATATGGAGGAGTTATTGAATCTCAACTTAACATATGATGAAACCAAGTACATTAGGTTCGACGTGTTTCTCAACGAAGACAATCTCTTAAAGGTGTTCGAGTTGGATCGGGCAGAGTACCTGGGAAGTTTCGCCAACTTGGCTCACATTCATGAGAATTCAAATGAAAACCAACCAAAGACGACGACATACAGCCTGGCCATAACTGAACTACTTGAGGATCTGGGGCTTGAACTTGATAAAAATGTTGCGGTTACGGTGGTGCCAAAGTATAACGGTGAATTCATGACTATAAACAGCGTCGACGTCTCATTGTTATCTTGTTAAGGGATTGCTTTCAATGCAAGCACGTTGCGGTAGGTGATGTATGTGTGAATAGAAAAATAATGTCACTCGCAGGGGTCATATGAATTGAACTATTGAAGTATGTTTCTTCAATTCTATTTTATTCAAGAATGAACTAAACAATCTCTTTAATTTGATAATTTATTTGGAAGAGTTCGTTAAGTACCCTATGATTGGGCGTGTTTAGACTTAAAGGGTGGTTTGATTTCAAACTTATAGGGTGAGAGTATCTGGAATTGAGTTACAAAGATTGATTAAGATATCATAGGTCAATACCTCAATGAATTCTATTAAGATATTATGTCAAATTGTCTATCAACAGGTGAGAGTCGTGAGACCCTTAAATTTAGATGGAGTAAAAACTAATACTAATATTAGTAATTTTCCGAGAAATCAAACACTTTCTCCAACTCTAAAAACTTTATCACCTTTAGTTTTATTTTTCAATGAACTTTATTAGGTCAATAGTATATTGATTATTATATTTTTTTAAAGCTATATATTTTACACTTTTATCATAATATAAGTTTTTTAGATGTATAAACATTTTTAACATACTCATATTTTGTACCGCTACAAACAAGATAATGGTTGTCACAAACAAAAAATGTATATTAAAGACAGACATCTCTATAAATTTGTACAGCTACAAACAAGATAATGGTTGTCACAAACAAAAAATGTAAATTAAAGACATATTTGAGAAAACAAATGTGAGTGGCGCAATATTGATAATTGATGCCTGTGTGAGCAACTTACATAATTTTTAATATGAATCCATTCGCATACATATATTTGTATGTGATTTGATATACAATAACTACCAATCACCTGTTTTGACCCCGTGTGTACAAATTAAAAGTGTACATATGTCATTTTTTAATGTTTAACCACTTGTGGTTATGATGTTCTACAAGAGGTAACCAACATATTAATTGACTCCATTCTAACTTGATTCACACTAACTAAATGTTATGTACAAAAATACTTGAGAATCATTTTGGATCTTGTCTCATGTTATACAAGATCTTACAATATATTTGTATCAACTTATTATATTTTATTTAATACAAAAATAGTTAATATTTAATTTGGGCAACATTTCACACCGTGCATCGCATGGGTGATATACTAGTTTGTATTCAAACTTAAGGTTACCGCAACCCAACCAATCCAACATTCCAAGTTTCCAACCTATTTCCATCCGTTAAAATCCAAAACATGCGCATTGTGGAGAGTAATTGCCTCAAAGGATCTCATATTATAATTATCCGTTTCTATTTATGTCTCTAGCATGACCACATTATGAAGTTCGAAACTTTTTTAGCCCAAGTATCTAAGCTGCCATCTAGAATATGGAGTTATTGGAGTCTAGACTCGCTCAGATTCAATAGAGGTAAAATACAACACTGACAATTTCCTAGTCGGGAACATTTCTCGAATTCTGCTATTACATCATTTGTTATTTGTTGGTCTAACACTGACAATTACACAACAATGACACCAGGGTGAGAAATTTTTACTCCAGGCTCCAACGTAACCATGTGAGATGGTCCAGACAATATTTGCATTTGGTTCTAATGATCTGACCCCGTGTGACATAGGAATTTGTCCAATCTGGACTGATCTCATACTTAGCTTGTTTCAGTGTTTGACCATCCTCAAATCACCAGTTCGTCATAAAAAATTGCTTTCAGAAAACCAATTCAACAACCCATGCATGAAATAGAAACTTTGAAATTGACTTATTAGGTAAACAAATGTAGCAACTAATGTAAATTTCAGAAGTGACTATTCTGACAGGCTTTTCACTATAAACTTGCCGATATAAATATTGTGACATCAAAGTGTACCTTTTAGCTTGCAAGGCTAATCTCAGTCAAATGCTGTGGGATTCTATCTAGGTGCTATGCCTTTGTCTGTCTCTCCTTTACTGATGCTGATCTCATATTTGTTGTGCCTTAGAGAATTGACCATGCAAGGCAGTTGGATCTATCATTGATGTCCACAAAAGAGACACTACACCTAGGACTGTGCACAACTTCTAAGCTTATATAGTGGGGTGAAAGAATCAATGTCGGATAGCAAGAGTCGGTGCATCATCGATGGGGATGATGAAGTCTTTAATGGAAACAATGGTCGCTCCTAGCTGTGGCCAATCACAGTGAACGACACTTCAACCATCGCTAAGGAACAAAGTCGGTTAGCAACGTGTGGCCTCATGAAATTATCAAGGACACCAAGAATAAATAAACATACAACATTGTGACCCAGAATGAGTTGTACATTGATCCCACAACACGACCCCTTAGCCATAAATTTAAAAATTACTCCGTAGTCCTTCATATATCTGCAATTCATCTTTTAAATAATCCTTCAAATGAAACCCAATAATCAATAAACAAGAATATTACCTAGTAAGAAAAATAAATCCATTTTCCTTCAATAATCATCTTCCTCACTGTCATTCTCGTTGCTTTTCTCTCTGTGGATATTCTTTTGAGCATTATACATCTCAGCAACCTGAAAAAAGGTAATTAGAGCGTGACCAAAAAAATAAATTTTCAAATTCTTCCATGACTGTTTCAATTTCCACCATCTCATTATTCCTTCTTAAAGGGTTGTGATATGAATTTATAGTGTATTAGTGTGTTAATTATTTTTAAGCAAGTAATTGCCACTAAACTTATTGCCTCTGCTCCAACAAGTTAGGATTCAAATACAGATAATGATAATGAACGCCTCTTTTCAATCTCCATTATGTGTGTTGTGTCTTACTGTCAAGATAGATGATGAAGATTTTATACCAGCTCAGATGAAGACGCCTGCTCAGGGGTTTTGTCAGGCCGAACCCGAAGTGGGCGTGGGCATCGAAGAGATATGCCCTATACATGAAAGCAAAAGCACCACCAACAATAGTATTTTGAATACATAAAAGGATGGTACAGTCCAATACTATTGTTAACTGGACAATATCAACAAGCAGGATTCAATGAACAAATCAATCAGTTCATTGTTTCTATTACCTTATTTGAATCTACTATACCCACCGCAGCTTGGTAATCAGGGCTGATGGTTAGGTCAGAAAATTTTACCTCCCACACCTAAATAGAATACGGAAACATGTCAATATAAGTAACAGAGTAAATAACAACGTATTGGTAAAAATAGACTCTGGATCTTTCAATCTATCGTTTAAACGTCACATTGCTGAAACAGTTTGCTTATAATCTTTCAAGCCATCCTGAGTATTACAAAAGCGATAATGAATATACATGATCTAAGTGTGCACGCTAACACCAAGTTAGTATACCACCACACTATGAAAATGATTTCAGATCTTTCATTGAAGCAAAACAGGGAAATTTTAAAAACGAAGGCATAGTGATACATTATTTTAAAAAAATAAGTGACTGTATAATTGATTATTCACTTATGATATAATGTTAGTTTAGTATAAGAACAAATAAAAAGAATGAAATTGCCAACGAAATGTGTTTTTACCTCACTGGCTTCAAACCAAACATCAGGAATATTTTTTTCGCCGCACCGATAGTATGCCTGAAATGAGGGAGTGAGTGATTTCCATTAATTTTCACAATAATAAAAAATTAATAGCAGGATACTCAAGAGATTCAGACATAGAAACAAAGGGACACCTTTGGTTTGGGAATCACTTTAGACCGCAGAATGGCACAACGTTCTTCTAGCATTTCTTCAGTGAATTTTGTTCCTGTGTTGCAAAGAATTAAGTTTAGTTAATACACGAAAAGAATTCAGTAATCACTTGACAAATTGAAAACACTCACCTACTTTACAAACACTTTGAAATTCTTCATTATTGTTGTCATAGCAAGCAAGGAGAAAAGAACCATAGACTCCTGCAATTCATCAATTAATTTAGACCACACTTCTAGCCATGTTTATAATAAATGGAAGTACATAAAGTCCTTCAAGAACCTAGCCTGGTTTGTTTACAGGAATGTGAAATAATTGACCCATATAAGCATCACCATATCTAAAGAGTGTTTGATGACCTGTACGCTTGCCAATGCCATGGAAACCGCCAATAGGTACCAAATCCAGTGTGTCCCCTACACTGCAAACTAGATCCAGTTGACAAAATTGAAACCCATTGATTTAAAAAGTAAATCAATCAATCAATCATCATTTACCCCAGTGCCGCAAAGGCTCCCACCTACGGTGGGGTAAGGGGGGGTCGGATGTACGCAATCTTACCCCTGTACTAAAGAGCACAGAGAGACTGTTTCCCGATGACCCATAGTGAAAATTGCGACCAAAATTGCATGGACTGACCGCTGCAAACATAACATCCTTACTTTTCCAGATAATCTTTCTTCAATTTTACCCAGTTCAGGGAATACTTGGCAGGTTCATATGTTGCATCTTCATTTAATGTTTTAATAATTAATCCTTCACAACTGCAAATCAAGTGACAAGGCCAATCATATATATAAAGTGTCGTTTAAACTATTGCAAGAAAAACCAGAGTTGGAATCTGTGAAAAATTACGTAGGCTGAATTGATGCACATAATTTTAAAACTCAAAACATGAAATATTTATATATCTATATGAATTAACCTTTATGTAAATCAATTAAGACCTGGCATTAACTGCTTCTTCAAGAAAGTTCTGTACATCCCCAATATCATTTGATGACATTGATGTTGCAAACTGAAGAAGTCCACATTCTTCCTCAAAGGAGGCATAGAGATTCTGCACATAGAAAAATAGGCCCTCATCAATAATATAGTGATCCGTATTTTCTTATATCAAGAGTATATGACATTAAGGCCCTGTTTGGTTGGAGGGTTTTGGAGGGAAGGGAAGGGGAGGAAAGTGGAAGACTTCCAAAATCCTCCACATGCTCCCATTCTAAACCCCCCAAATCGGGGTATTTCGGAGGAAACGTGTTGATAACCACAAACTATCCATCTCCTACGTGAATGGCCAAAACGTTATAATATAATAAAGGTGAAAAATAAAAAGTTATGAAAAATTAAAAAAAATTAAAATTAAATAAATTAAAAATTAAACAAATAAAAAATAAAAAAAAAATATAAAATTATAAAATTATAAAAAATAAAAAAATATTATGACTCGTGACCATAGGAGTAATATTCACCAGTTAGAGATGCATCTATTTTTTTAAGCAAGCTATCAAATAAAGGTAAATTGGGAAAATATTATCATTAAACCTTCCTCCTATTTCCTCCAACCAAACACAAATTTTTATCGAAATCCTTCCTTCCCCTTCCCTTCCCTCCTTGACTCTCCCCTTCCCTCCCCTCTTTTGAACCAAACAAGGCCTAAAATTTGATGGTAAGCAGCAGTATGAAGAGATCACTGCCTCCCTACCAAACTGACAAATCTTTTACAAGGTGTTTGGTTGGAGGAAAGAGGAGTGAGGGAAATTATCATTTAAGTTTTTAATTTTTGTTACAAAAGTTAAGGAGAATAAAGTTCAACCTCAGTCATGTTCAAAGTAGAGAATTTAGGTTTAAGTGATATAAATGCCTTGTTAACCGGAAAAAAAAGGCTAGTTTTTTATTTTTGGTGAAAGAATCAATGTCATATACTCATCTTTAGCTGGGTATATGATTAGTTAGATCATGTATTTTTATATACTATTTTACTTTCACTTTATTTCATTTTTTTCTAAATATAAAAGTTATTTGAAATTTATATATGACCCCTTCCCTCTCCTCCGAAATCCCCCAACCAAACTTTAATGTCCTGCCCTTTCCCTCAGAGGATTCTGTCACTAGACATTAATGGTTTGTCACTTTGTTGCACTTACATTTGTTCAAAATGTTGGTCTGAGTAAGGCTGGGTAAAGTTCGGGTACCGAACCAATACAGTGCATCCCAGGACCAAACAGATACTTTGGTTATCCAAAAAATTATAACCGACACCAAACCACAAATGGATCGGTTACTGATTTATTAGGTACCAACTTTTCGGGTGGGTTTACCAAAAACCATATATAAAACCGAAGCTGGTGTACAACCTTTGCTTGTGGCACTAAACCCATTCGGTCAGTACTACAATGTATCAACTAAAGGAGGCCGTGTTTAGGAAAGAAAAGTGAAAACTTGAGATATTCTTCCGGACCTGGGTTTCAAACTCGGGACATCAAGTAAGCAAAATGTTGTTTACCACCAGGTTGCCAACTATTGACTACAAAATAACAATTAATATATTATTAATAATATAATTATTATTAATAAATATTTTCGGTTTGGTTTGGTGCAAAGCGATTTTTTGAGTATAGTAACCAATTTTAAACCGAGTTTTTTCAGGTCCCAATACATCGCTTCGGTTCAGCTCTGTTTTTTCCAATACGGTTCGGTTTTTTCCGGTCCGGTTTTCTGTTTTTTGATCCGAAATGCCAGTCCTAGGTCTAAGGACCAGCCAAAAGGTAATAATGCGGAAGCCTATAATGTGAGACAACTTCATTTAGGTTTCCACCAACTATTGCATCAGACTTAACTACTTAACAAAGAAAATAAAAAATAAAAATAAAGCATTTGGTAGGGAAAAAATAGTTACCTCTCTACGGACTTTTAAGGTTTCCTGAAGAAGTGCTTGGCCATTAAGATACAACAAATCAAAACCAAATATGCAAACATCTACCTTTATGTCACTCAAAGTTACATTCTTGCGAGGCCGGGTACTAAGAACCTGTCAAGATAATTGGGTTATATCATAAGTATTGTCAATATATACCAGTTCAACATTGGCATGGCGTATGGCAACTGCCATGGTGCCAAGGCAACTTTCCGCAGCGATGGCACATTTATGGTGTCACCGCATCACACAAATAAAAACGAGTATAAATATAAACTATAGACAAGAAAGTTCTGTGATTCAACCACCAATAAGTGAGCAATAGAGTTAAATAACCAATTCAGGCAATTCTAACCAAAACACACTCGGGCAAGTTCAAAACTTCAAATAGTACTAAAAACATCTTAACAAAAAAGGTTCAAGTCATCCAAAGCATGTGAATTATAGTTCAATCACATGATCTAAATGATCATCAGTCATCACACACCACTGATGATCAGTCATCACACAGAGTAGAGGTATTTAAGGATTATACTTGTGTGTAGCATATACAATGTTTTATGTTGTATAAAAATTTGTATTTTATAAATGCATTTGTTGTGTTTTATTGCGGTATATGTATCATTGCAGCATAGTCGGTATAAATACGAACTATATAATATTCTTTATATGTTTGTGGTGTTTCAAAAATATACTTTTTTGCAGTTTTTTAGTATACTTAGACCAATCGATACATATATATATATATATATAGATAATTATCACATAGGGTGCAACCAGTCGCCTAGTTGTCACCTAGGCGTGCGCCTAGTTGCCTAGGAGGGCGGTCTGCTGGCGCTGCGCCTCGCCTTACCGCACAGCTACTCTGGCTGTATATTCGTTGATATCCATTAATATTTGCCTTATCATGAGTGGGTTTTTAAGTATTTTATTATCTACTTATATGGTCCAAAGGCCAACAGTAAGTACTTGAATGAATTTGCAGTGAAGATCACTACAAACGCCATTGGCGTTTGATGGTGCAGACTAATTGCGCCATTGACAGCCATGACTCATTGATTACAACCTAGGTCTAAACGTAACTACTTTAACAGAATACTACCTCCGTCCCTCTTATATTGGTACGGAAGGGGGTGGCACTATTAGGGTAAAGGGTCAAATAGGCCCCCGAACTAACTTAAAAAGTGCAATTCACCCCTTATATAGGAGGCTCTGTCCGGCCGTCGTCAATTGGGGCGGTTCCCGGTGGAATTTTTTAAGCATCTTCTTCATTAAGTCTAGTTTACTCATACCATATTTCAGATAAAATTTCAATCGGGAAGACAGTCAAATGATTTTCTGAAATGTACTGCGTTGTTTAACTGCGCAGTTATCTTCAAAAATTCATTTGACTGCCTCCCTGATTGAATTTTTAGTTGAAATTTGGTATGAGTAAACTAGACTTAATGAAAAAGAAGCTCAAAAAAATTCATCAAAAATTCCACTGGCGATGGCCAGACATAACCTCCTATATAAGGGGTGAATTGCGCTTTTTAAGTTAGTTCAAGGGCCTATTTGACCCTTTCGCGGGCACTATTATTAAGAAAAGTGGATTGGTGCGGTTGATAAAGTAAGAATAAAGTAAGAATGATTTAGAGTCACACAAACTTTACCAAATATGGGACAATTTTAGTGGGATGATTTCCCGAAAAGATAAAATGAGACAATATTAGCGGGACGAGGGGAGTATCAAATGTTGGTTAACAGAATTCCACCGTGGGTATAATAAAATTGTGAGTTGAAACCTTGATTATAAAGTGATGTATCAAAACTTATAAAAATACAAAACCAATATTGAGCTTACCTGGAAAGGAAGGATTTTCTGTTTTGAGCGATCATAAGCTACAAGCTCACAATCAAGAACAAATGATGATACATTTGTTTTCTTTAACCTGAATCACAATAAGTGAATATCAGAAACTAATAAACTATGAAGTTGAGAACTGTACTGGGAAGCAACTATCACTGTGACTCATTGAGTTCTTTTCTGTTAGAATAACCGGAAAAAATAAAAAAGATAAATGTTATGTATTGTAGTTATATTTTGTAGTGACAATGGAAATTCCAATAGAAGCATCAAATGCAGTAGCAGAAAAGATAACAATAGTTCAAAAGACATGAGAGTACCCAATTCTCTCCAAAGTCCTCACACACGTTCCTCCCTCCCCAATACTGCTGCCAGGAAGTTGGTCAGGATAAGGTGCTATGCACCTCACCATGCCATCATCTGGTCCTCCTCTTTCTGGGTTTTTTCATATAAACTTAGGTGATTTTGAGCCATGGGTCCACACTACATGCTTAAGAGCTTTACCATGAACATGTAAGAATATCTGACAGATATCTCAACACAACATTATTCAATTTTATATGGAGTATAAATGTATAATATTAGAGTATCTGAAATTATTTCTAAGGACTGGTTTCCATATTTCATTATATGTCCATCATAAGCTATATTACTATTTGGCTAGGATTTTAGCCTGGTAACGAGTATAGATCAGAATAAATGTTATGTCAATTATCTAGTGACTATATAAATTTATTTTGAATTTGTATTCCTTTTATTATACAACTAAACCCACAACTAAACCTACAACTTTAACAGTTCAATTAGATGCAGCGGCTTCATGGTGTAAAGGGAATGTTATAACTGGCTCAAATGTAATGTGTTACTAATAGTATTCTTAAATTCAATTCCTTGGTTACCTTGAAACTGCAGCAACAACATCAGGAAACATTCCGGTGTTCCGTTCAGCTCTTCTACTATAAATCTCAACAGACCCATTGTCCATGTAATGTATCTGTTTAAATACAGAACCAACCAACATATTACTGCACTAAACAAATATGATGGAGAAAATTATATCTCTGCATGAAATTTTTCACCGATTAATCCATTACCTGAGCACGCACTCCATCGTATTTGTATTCACATGTGAACTCTACATCCTGGAATCTGTTTAGAATTTCAGATACACTTGTGATAGCTTTTGACAGCATAGGCCCAACTGGAACTCCAAGAGTAAATTTACATTTCATTGGAAGACCCCATACACCACCATCCGTAAGCAATTGAGACACTATCTTGTCATAGTCAGGAAGAACAGAATAGACTTGTTTAACAATCTTTGCTGCCTGATGCAAAACAAGCCCCACCAAAGTTGTAAGAGAAAAATAGAATTCACTCAGTACCATGTATTTCCCAATCTCAACCAGATTAGCTTTTACCTCTTCTAAAGGTGACTGGATTCCAGGAGGTGGTTTTGAATGTTTTTCAGCATACACTGCAGCTTGACCTAATGCAGCTAAGAGAGTTTGTTCGGCACATCCAATACGCAATTTTTTCTAGGCAAAAAAAAAAACCAAAAAATTATTAATAAGGTCCACTAAAGATTATTTTGTCAAAATAACATCACAATCTCAACCTGTAACAAACGGATCAGATATAAAGGTTCACAGTCAGTGGCAGCAAGAAGAAGTGACTTTATATGTTTCTTTTTCTTCTGTAGGCTGTCTTTTCCTTCTTCCTGCACAAAAAATTAGGACATGAGAACAAATTAGCAACAGAATTCTAGCTCTCCAGAACAAAGTATTCCAAGAAAATTGCAACAAACTCATATTTCCTCCTCTTAGATGACAGAGACACATATCTACTCTAAAGTCCTATATTTTTAAATCAATATATTCTTATCTGCATCTGGACCAGAATATTAGTGAATAACTCAAACAAAGCACTAATATCTAAAAACATGCTTTAAGCAGAGGAGAATAACACACTCTATCAATAAACGAATGGAAGGCAAGTTGGTAATACACACCCTGGCAATGAGGTGAAATGTGTTGAAAACCTTTCTAATGGTCAATGGTTCGGGTTTCCGCATCATAGACTGTGACAATCGGCTAGCCTGGGCAACTAATCCCAAGTCACCTTTTTCCTGCACGCACGCACACAACCAAGGTACTATTAGGTGAAGAATGCTAAGGATGAAGGCAATGAAACAGACGTTTTACCTCATACTCCTTCGTAACCAGCTTTGGATCCCGACCATAAGCATCAGAAACTGCCTGGGAGATGATATTTGGTCCTATACCCAATTCCAACCCATGGTGTGGGGGAGCAATCCTTTTGGCCAAGAGATAGACGACCAGCAGGAGATCCGAAGGCGTAGCATGAATGACGGTCCTCAGAAGGTTGCACGCAATGTCAGTGGTCGCAATCCTACCAGCCTCTCGGGCGATCATGTCGAATGCCAATGAGAGGAGCAGGAAGGGTATGGGTTGGCCTTCCTCCCAACAAACAACAGAGCGCGGATCAAACTCGGAGGGATTCTTCTTCATGAGGGGTGCCCGCTTCTTCAGTTCGGTGATCAACTCCGTTGAAGCAGAAGCAGCATTCCAGGGAATCAGGGTAGGCGACGGTACCTGCTTTTCAGGTTGGGGGGATTTTGTTTTCTTATTCTTCAGAGATGGAGAAGGAGGAGAAAGCCGTCTCTTCTTGGCGGCGGCGGCCCGTGCGCCGCACATGAGGGCGTCAAAGGCTGAAGGCGGCGGCTTAGTCATGGTGGTGGAGGAGTGTTGAGGAAGGGAGAGGCTTTCGTCGACCTCAGGAAATTATATACTCTGGAGTCGAGTATGGGTATCGGGATTAACTGCCTCTCTCCGCCGCGCCTTCCAATTTCATATTCTTATACTCAGCAGTGCGTAGTCCGTACCATAGTTCGCTTCGGAGCTTCCAGATTATGGACTTTGTTATTTACAATCTAGCTTGAGTACACATTTTTCATACACACGCCTACACACTCATATTTGTGAAAAGTATCTTTTTGTCTGTATACAGACATAACGTATTTGAGAATTCGTTATGTCTGTATACAGACAAAAAAATACTCTTCACAAACATGAGTGTGTAAGTGTGTGTATGAAAATGTGTACCTCAAACTAGATTGTAAGTACTTCATATAATTAGGATTATTATTACACTTGGTGAGGAATGACTCGCCCTCCTAATCTAATTAGCTCCTAATCTAATTAGCTAGTAAGCCTAGTGTGCATTTCTATTTGCACGAAGTTGTTACAACTTCAATTTGCATACATTTTATGAGAAATTATCTTAAATATGAGTAAAAACATTCTCCAATTCTAACTTTTATGTTTTATCTATTCTTGGTATGAGAGTAATTACTTTCATTTTTTGATATATCACACTTTATACATGACAGTATTCTTCAAACTTGACATTAATTACTCTTATTTAGAGAATAAAAACATAATAGTCCTATTTTCGAATTTCAAAATGTTTTTGCTCCTATTTAGGCAGATGGGGAGTGCATGTGAGCAACGACATCCGTAGGGATATTTTTGTCCCTTCATTTTAAAACTACCTCTATTTATTAGGGTTTAAAACTTGTAACTCCTGTTTACATTTCTATCTATTTTGTCCTATTTAGGTCTATTTCCCTTTATGTTTTCTTTATCTTGCTTTTTCTTTAATTTTATCTTCTAAGAGGTTTTGACTTGGTCCCCCTCTTTACTTGTAATCTTTAATCATTAATAAAATTTGGTCAATGTTTCCCGATATTTACCCCACTAATTTTGGTAGTTTATCTTGCTTAAAAAATATATGTTTTTTTGTTGTTTTTTCTCTTTTTGTTATAGTATTTGTTCTATTAAATGCCAACATCCTTGATTGTGATGAATTTCGAACTTGTGACCTCCTCCTTAAGAGTGTCACTGTGATGTCATCAAACCACAAAGTGTTTGACTTTAAAAAAATCTCTACATATATATTTTTTGTAGAGAATAATTTAGTAGCCCCAGACCGGGCTTTGGTTGTTTGACTTTATAGTCCTGAGCTGGGCTTTGGCTCGAGACTAGCTGGCCGGGCTCCGGGTCCAAGAATTCAAGGCCCGGTATCGTCCCGGGTATGTGCCGGTACCGGGTCAGGTCAGGCTACCCGGTCGGACTTTGGTCCGGACCCGGGTCGGGTCGAGCTATTTTTTCTTTCTTTCTTTTTTTATTTAATTCACAAGTTCTACAAAAAATCAAATGTATATTTATTGAAATATGAAGTACATTTGATAATTGAAAATAATTTTGAACATTAAATATTTAAAAACATTTGATAAAAATCAGTCGGAATTTCCACCAACGTCGGTTGTTGTTTCCTCCATGAAGTGGCGGTTGGGAGCAATGCAAAAACTTCTTGAATTCTACGTCGTGCCTTCAACCAATCGTGAAAGCAAATGAGTGTCTCAAGAGATTGTGCGCAAAATCTTGTTCTATAATCCGTGAGGACGTTGCCGGTTATGCTAAATTCTTGTTCCACGGCTACTGTTGACACCGGCATTGATATCAATTGTTTCGCCATCTTCGATAAAATCGAGAACATTCCACCACTTAAGAACGTCAAAGTCATCCCCTTGTTCATACTCAACAGGAAACGTTAGATATAAAGAAAGCTCGTTAATCGAGCTTTGTGCAATAGCGGGAGTTGATTTTTTCATAAGATTACTAAATGTAGATTTGAAAAATGATTTTCCTTTAAATGAAGAAGTAGTTGGTTTCTGGGGAGGGGGTGCGTTAGTATAATTTGAATGAAACTCATTAAATAATTGATGAAATAAGTTACTAACCTTGTTATATTGGTCTTTAGGATCTATGAGTTTCTCTTCGTACATAAGTAATGGACCGAAAAACAAGTATAATAGTATTATATACAACTTTGATAAGCATGTAGTTTGAAACGAGGATCAAGAACAAAGGCAATACCATATATAGGCGGAATATATGTAAAATATTTTAAAAACTTTTCTATCATGAAATCACAAAAATAATGAATGTTAGTTGAAGTTCAGAAAAAGCACCGCCTAGATTAACAGCTTCAACAAAAAATTGGTTTGTTAGAGTTAGAGTTGAGTTATCAAAAAAACGAAAGGTTGGCAAAAAAATTCAATTGTGTCTATCTCAGTCGGATTTATAATATAGTTAACAGCTTCTTTTAAAAAAACAGAAAAATGGACTTTAAATTCAAGAAGTACAACAATCAAGTTCTAAGTACTATTCGAGCGAATAGACAAATCTTTTGGATAAGCACAATAGTTTACACGTCTAAACCTCAAATATTGACGTCATTGCTATTTCAGTTGATTATTACCCCAAATCAATGTAATACCCCTTCACGTTCTCCATAACGTCAGCGCTAATGAAGGTAGAAAGTAATTGAAAAAATAGGAAAAACTAATGAGGAAAACACGAAAGAAAGAAATTAGTAAGGTGCATTAGAGTAGTTGAGCCGGACACGCTGTTGGGTATGTTGCCTGGTGTTGTGTAATCGTGTTTGCTGTCTGGTCTCAATAGTCCTAGGCGTTGATTCATTGCGTCTTTTGGATTTTTTGGAAACAACCGTGAATTCTTCTTCTGATGGTATGTGAACCATTCTGTTCAATTGTTGATCCAAATTAATTTGTTTCTCTTGGGCCTTTTGCTGCATTTTGTGACCAAGCTCTTTTTGAAATAATTGAAATTCAGCTTTAATGTTGGCTAGAAAGCTATGATAATCCTGTTTTGTCTCCTCTCCAATTGTTGCACAAGAAGCATGAGTCTTCATTTCATCAACAAAATCCGCCACAGGCTCTTCATTCATAGAGTCTAAGTCTTTATGAAACTTTTCGGCCTCTTCGTTATCAAGAGAGTCTTGAGTCAGCTTCTCTAGATTCTCTGTAGATATAAGACATGTGCAAGTAGATTTTTCCGCTGTGGATAAAACATCTCAGAAATGGATAAAACATTCTGAGAAGAATTATCCTCAACCCAATCACAACATTGCACCGCCAATCCCTGTGCAAATAGATTTTTCCGCTGTTCGGATGTAGATGAACTCATCATTTTGATTGCAAAAAACTCTCAATCCCTAATCCTTTTCGACCCTCCGGAACAAAAAGAGAGTTGTAACTCTTTTCTATTATCCGAATATAGTCCCCGGAACGATTAGAATCTGCTCGAATAGTTAGAGAATTTTCAAATTCTAGTCTATGACAAGCCCATTTATCACTTAATATCTTAACCAAAGCATCTCTCAACCAACTGAGTTTTTCAAGATCAAATTCAATTGTTGATAAAAGCCCCTGCTTCATCTCAGATATGCGTAGGCAATTGCAATTAACAATATCAAATTGGAACAATTTACTTTCAATGGTAAATTGAAAGAATTTCAGTTTACCTTCAATTTCCTTCCCCCAGATTGTGCCTTCTGGAAAACGCAGGCCTTCTCTCATGGCTGGCTCGGATATAAAAAAGTCCCCTGTGACTTCGGTATTTTGAAATCCCACACCCCCCAAGCAAGACTGAGCAAAAGAGTCCCATGTGGTGTGATACCTCGTTTCCGACCCTCGTCGCAAAGCTGGATGCCGGTTTCTTCTCTAACAGCATCTCCCACCTTCGTCCCTCACCTGCTGGACTGGATCCCGTCGCCATCGTTCGTCCCTCGCCTGCCAGTCGACGCCCGGCGCTCGTCTGCTAAAACGAAGTCCCTCGCCCCTCGCTGAGACCCAACGCATCTGCTAAGAATACGCCATGTTTAATTTGTCTTCCAAAATCGCGCTCCCAGTATCCACTCCTATGTCTCCCTAGATGTCGCTCATCACTTGGACGCCGTAGGGCAGAACCGGCCCAGAGCCGGTCGCTCATCCCCAATCTTTCCCCACCCCGCATTGCCCAAGCCCACCTACCTATCAAAGTAGGACCACACAATTCACGTTTTTCCGCTGTGGATAAAACATCTCAGAAATGGATAAAACATTCTGAGAAGAATTATCCTCAACCCAATCACAACATTGCACCGCCAATCCCTGTGCAAATAGATTTTTCCGCTGTTCGGATGTAGATGAACTCATCATTTTGATTGCAAAAAACTCTCAATCCCTAATCCTTTTCGACCCTCCGGAACAAAAAGAGAGTTGTAACTCTTTTCTATTATCCGAATATAGTCCCCGGAACGATTAGAATCTGCCCGAATAGTTAGAGAATTTTCAAATTCTAGTCTATGACAAGCCCATTTATCACTTAATATCTTAACCAAAGCATCTCTCAACCAACTGAGTTTTTCAAGATCAAATTCAATTGTTGATAAAAGCCCCTGCTTCATCTCAGATATGCGTAGGCAATTGCAATCAACAATATCAAATTGGAACAATTTACTTTCAATGGTAAATTGAAAGAATTTCAGTTTACCTTCAATTTCCTTCCCCCAGATTGTGCCTTCTGGAAAACGCAGGCCTTCTCTCATGGCTGGCTCGGATCTAAAAAAGTCCCCTGTGACTTCGGTATTTTGAAATCCCACACCCCCCAAGCAAGACTGAGCAAAAGAGTCCCATGTGGTGTGATACCTCGTTTCCGACCCTCGTCGCAAAGCTGGATGCCGGTTTCTTCTCTAACAGCATCTCCCACCTTCGTCCCTCACCTGCTGGACTGGATCCCGTCGCCATCGTTCGTCCCTCGCCTGCCAGTCGACGCCCGGCGCTCGTCTGCTAAAACGAAGTCCCTCGCCCCTCGCTGAGACCCAACGCATCTGCTAAGAATACGCCATGTTTGTCTTCCAAAATCGCGCTCCCAGTATCCACTCCTATGTCTCCCTAGATGTCGCTCATCACTTGGACGCCGTAGGGCAGAACCGGCCCAGAGCCGGTCGCTCATCCCCAATCTTTCCCCACCCCGCATTGCCCAAGCCCACCTACCTATC